CCCCCCCCCCCCCCCGAGTAGGGTATCCCACCTCTAGCAGTGCCCAATAGCTGACGCTTCTGAGAAAAGCAAAACTGAATCCAGTGAAGCATCACACCACTGGCGCGGAGAATGACGGGTGGGTACAGAGGTGAGGAAAGCCCTCCTCACCCCTGTGCCACCCATGTGAATGTTTCTGGCCATGTTGTCCCCGTCTAAATTACCCATGTTCAGTTCCTAGAGACCCTGAGTGTCACAGGTGAGCTACACATTGGTGCTGTTTTCTACATAATAGCCACTAATTCTTAGTGTCCCATTGTCCCCCTTGCGGGGGAGGCCTCTTAGACTATGGCTCTTGACCCAGAAGGATACAGCCTCTTACTGGGCCGGAGGCATTTCCCTTGTTGGCTGGCCACAGCTGGAGATGGACTCTGCACCTGGCCTGCCCACTGCCCTCTGGCATACAGTTATTCCAGCATTCCTGTGAGTATTTTGAGCTTTCCTTTCCTCAGCGGATTAGCTTAAGCTGCCGCCTCACCAGCCAAATGATGCAATGTACTGAAAGCCCTTGACAGCCTCAAATAACAAAGGCCTTTCAGGAGTCAAGAGCTGCCTTTGGTGTCAGGACGAGCACACTTTGTATACAGGGACCTCTGTGCTGGACAGATTTACATTTCTTTACATTTTGTAGTTGGCTCCCAGATCTCTGAAAACTTGAATAAAATGGTCTGGGAAACCATTTATGTCTGTGCTATGGGAGTCTTATTTTCTAAGCAAGCTGGATTTAGGTATAATAACAGCTGAGGAATAATTATACGCTTCACACGTTGTGGTGCCTCACAGCTGCATTTCATAAGCAATTCAATTTAACCTGGTTGGGTATAATTAACTTTGCAGTTAGGGAAACTGAGGCAGGGCACGAAGTGTGTCGTCCCAGGTTAGTGGAAGTAAAGGCCTTGAAAGTCATGTTCCAGCTCCTCCAGAGGCGAAATCAAGGACACGACTGCATCGGGCTTTCAACCATGAGCCGAGGGGCAGAAGCGAGACCCCAGGTGTCTGGTGCCCAGCAGATTTCAGTGGTCGCCGCTAGACACGATCCCTCTGCAGGAGAAATCTGTACTACGAGCGAAGACTCAGAGAAGAATTTGACTTCTGGTTTTTCACTTTGCTGTCATCCAGCTCGTCTTCTCCTGACTTCTGCAGCGCTGCAGTGCTCGAGGGGAAAGTTCATGTTATAGCTGCCCTCCGGTCTTGCACTGCACTCACCACTGTGGTCTCCTCCACATGCACCGTCTCCTCATCCCAACATCACATCACCTTGCTGGTCCAGTGTCAGGCATTTTATGGGATATGCCTCACTCCTGAAGCATTAGACATTCCTCCTGACTATGAGGACACTAGAGCTTGCGCAGCCCAGGTGTAGGGGTAAACCAGTTTGTTTTTCTTGCTCTCAGCTGCAGTTCAATGGGAGTTAGGCGTGTTTGTGCCTTTGGAGAGCTGTGCCTGTGTTCTTCATTTGTAGAAACTGGATTGGAGCATGATCCTACCACAGACAGGGCGGTGGGAGAGTAAATTCAGGAATGTAACCAAAGCAGTCAGAGAGTAGGGTGATAAAATGGGAAGAAACTTGGCCCACTTTTTTCATTATTAGGACCACACAATTATTACGCTCTTTGACTACAGAGGAAATGTCCTCAATCACTTTTCATCGACTCTGATTTTTAATCTTGGCTCTGGCCATTTAAAAAGGCCCGTCAGAAGATTTGTGCGGCAATGGTTTTGGTCACAGGAAAAACCCAAGCCGGTCCCCTTTGTTTCCATTCTGGATCTCGCCTGAAAGGTGATGCCGAAGGGATCACAAGCGGCTGGGCGCAGCATCAACCTGTTGCTAGGGGATTATGTGTGAATTGAGCTACAAAAGATTTGTAGCTTCCAGCAGCGAAAGGTTAACAGTTGGGAAAACTACAGCTGACTCTGGAGTCCTGCTGCTTTGTGATTGTGAGGAGGAAAAGCAGCATTAAAAGGCATGTTGTAGAGTTCAGGTGCAACTAAGGCAGGGAAGGAGTGCTGTGCCGTGCCCTGGTTCCCAATGCACAAGTGTCTCTCGCTACAGCCACCCCCTCCTTAAGGCTGTGATAGCGCTCTGTTGTGTAATGGTAATGGATGTGTCACCATAACAACCTGAGAAAGACCGAAGACTGGCAGCAAGCACGGAGTCGAAGCTAGCTGAGGTTCAGGGTTTGGTGCGGGCTTGGCTGTGTGGTTGACTGCCTGGCCGGGCTGGGTTTTTTCCCACCCACCCAAACAAAGCAGCGAGCCTGCCTGCGGCTGCCAGGGGAGCAGGGCACAAAGTTGCAAGGCCTGGCCAGTCCCCCGAACGCTGCTAGCCCAGGAGAGGGTGGTGCCCTATCAGTGCCGATGGCTGTTTTGCTGCGTCAGACACGCCAGCCTGTTGATCCCTGGGTTTTGGGTGCAGGGCATATCTATTTTCCCCAGGTCTCTGGAGTCACTGATGCAGGAGTCCCCCAGGGCAGGCTCCTTTGCAACAGCACCATGGCAGGCGTGCTGGTCTCCCAGCCGTGAGGGTTCACAGCCTGGTGGGGCCCAGCTCTGTCCATCTCTGACCAGCAATAGCTTTTTTAAATTTTTTTTTTTTAAGTTTTCTCCATCTCCCCTGGGCAACAGCGGCAGGCATCTTGCAGCTCAGCTCCTCACCTGGGTGAAGATGCGAGTTTGGGAGCTCAACGTCCCCTGCACCTCCTGGGACGTGGGGCCAGCTCCCGGCTGTAGTTGGCTGCCTGTCCCTTTGACCACGAGCAAGTTGCTTTATCTGCAGCTGAGTCCCTGTCTGTGTAAGGCGGGGAGAGCGATTCCCTCCCTCCCAGAGGTGTTTTGGAAGGATAAATGAATGCACAATTTGGAGGGAACAGGCTGGGAGGGGAGGGCTGCATGCCAGCGCCCAAACTGGACCTGCATCAGGGCTGGCCTTCATAGCGAGCCAGGTCTTAAAAACCTCCAAGGATGGAGAGTCCACAGCTTTTCTGGGTAACCTGTGCCAGTGCTTTACTACTCTCCTAATAAGAAAGCTCTTCTTAATATCTAACCTAAACTTCCTTGTCTGCAACTTGAGACTGTTTTTCTGCCCCCACTGAGAACAGCCTTTGCTGCAACTTGAGCCCGTTGCTCCTTGTTCTGTCACCCCTGGGAACAGTCCAGCTCCAACCTCTTTTGAACCCCCTTCAGGGAGTTGAAGGCTGCTATTAAATCTCCTCGATTTTGTCGTCTCCAGACTAAATGAGCCCAGTTCCCTCACCCTGTCCTCATAAGCCGCATGCCCCAGCCCCTCCATCCCTATTTTTCTATGATTCGACCATCCCCAGGTTTTGCCAGCTTGATGTCTTTGACCGGCAAAGAAACATCTGCAGCAAGAGAGCTGGCGCTGCAGTCCCCCGCTGTTGGATGGCAATGCTGCCTTGCATTGTTCGGATGTGGGCAATGGGCATCGTCCCAGTTCTGCTCGGGCGGCCCCGGACAGACTGTACAGCAGAGCAAGAAGCAGAATGAGCTTTCTGTGCCCATTCTCCCTTTTCATCGGAGTCAATTAAGAAGCAAATAGCTGGAGATTTACCACCTCCAGTGTCCAGCGTAATCTCCCCATTCATTTCCAGGCCGTCTCTTGGATTCTGTTGCCGAGCTGGACCCGCAGTCACACTTGAGCAGCAGACGTTTACAGCAAACCAACATGCTCGTGAATTGAGCCGCTGCGGCTAGCTCGCTCGGCCCCGTGTCTTTGCCTCACCTTGTCACCCATATCACTTTTCTTCATTAATGCCTGCTTGGTGTGAGCTTGAGGGGTTGCTCTGCATCACATAAGCGAGTGAAGCTGTGACCATTGGAGCCAAGCAGGCTGCTGAGCTGGCCCTCCCTGAAGGTGTGCGATGCACACGGGAGTGAGACGGCCATTACATGGGTACATGGAGCAGAGGCTGCCAGTGCCACCCTCCTCCGTGAGTGATCAGAGGAAGACATTGATCCTCTCTGTGATCGTTGCCTGAGCAATGCATCCCAAGTCCTACCGTGAGGCGGCCTGTACTGCGGAGGGACCCCCACCCCGGACCCCATCCTTTTTTTCAGCTTATTTTATTTTATTTTATTTATTTTTTGGTACTTGAAAAAGCTTAATAAACATGAAATGCACTGTCCATGCACTCCTAATCTGTAGGGGGGGGCCTTACAATGTGGCCTCAAGTAGACTTCAAAAACCTTTGTAAGAAGAGCCAGTTTGAAGACTACCTGGGCGGGGGGTATTATTTCTGGTTTGCGTGTATTTTGGGAACACCTATAATAAAAGGAAAGGGAAAGAAAGAGCAGGTGATAAGACAGAGGAGAAATATGTTATTTCTTCTTTTTTTTAAACAGGAAAATAATAAAAAAACTTTACAGCGAGGAACAAGGAGGTGATGGAAGGAGGGTGGGCAGTCGGGTGCAGTGAGCACGCGTCCTGGTTTAGAAGAGCTGGGAGATGCTCCCTTGGGTCGGTAGCAGCCAGGTAGGAATAGAGAAAGAAAAGGTCTGTAGGGTTTTGCTTAGTGTTTCACCATCAAACACGCTGGTTAGTTCCTCTCATTTCATGCCTGCCTGTCTTCATTGAACCCAGTGATCCCTAACACGGAGAGGGGCAACCTTTGAATAAATGGACTCAGGTACTTCCTGAAAAACATTGGTTTGGGCATCCTGTTGCATCCTGCTGTCTTCATGCTGCCGTTAGCTCTGCACCTGCCCAGAGCGGCAGCCCGCTCCCTTTTACACCGAGCAAGTTCTCTTGCAAGCTCCGTCCTGGGCCCTTTATGTTGCCTTTGCCCCGTTCTCCCTAGATCCATTTCTTTTTTTCAAGCCTGGGGTGATCCCTCTTGCCCCTGTCCAAAGGCACTTCCCGTGGGAACGTGTAGGTGTATGCACACGAAGGCAGGGACA